AATCGATTAACAGTTTCAGAATAAAGATCCCAATTAACGAGACGTAGGTTTATACGATTTAACAAAAGTTTATTAACTTCATCTATAGGAGCATGTTGTTCACCTGACGGAGTTGATGAAGAGTTCTTTGTGTTTATTTTAGTAAAAGTCGGCAGGTGATAACTTCCTAACGGATCATCATGAACCGACCACTCGCATTTTAATGATATGGATGGGGATACCATAGTTAAATCAAGGCCATTGGGTCTCCAAATATGAGAGCCAACAGTAGTAACTTGCTTATCATTTAATAGTACCAAATTACATTCATCTAAACAATCAAGAATGTCTTTACCTCTTGTATTAGTGGAGGTACAACCCCACATAGTATGATGTGCATTTAAATCTCCAGATATGATAGTGGGTTTAGGAAGAGACTCCAAAAAGAACTTAAATTTGGCTTTAGTAAAACTAGGTGTACTATTGGTAGGACAGTAAATACTGGCAACTGAATACCAAGAATTATTAACTTCAATACTAATAGCTATAGTTTGCAAAGAATTGTCGAAAAAAGAGTGAAGTTTTTTATATCTAATACTATTATGTATAATAATCGCTACTCCATTGTGGTTATTACCACAATCATTTCGTTCTATACAATAATCTTTAATTTTTAATTTGTAATGTGGTTTTAGCCAAGTTTCTGAGATGAGAGCAATGTGAATATGATGTTCATTTAAAAATTGTGTAAAAATAAGTCGATTGCTCAGTAGGCTCTGAGCGTTCCACTGTATGATAGTTAATTGGTCTTGATTGAATTTTGTGAAATAGGTGTATTACCAAAAGTATCATATAACACATTCAAAACACTTTTAGTGTTAATAGATGTGTTCTTTGTGTTATGTAGTGAAATAAGTTTGATTATGCTTTCTATTAAAAGTGATAAACTCTTGTTATCAGAATTTAGAATTGAAATTAGGTCTACATTTTTTTTAGGTTTGTTACCCAGTTTAGGAAATATTTCAGTGCTAAGTATATCTCCAAAAGAAGCAGGTCTGAATTTAGATCTATTTTCAGCAATTTTCTTTTGTTTAACAGGGCATTGCGGTGATACACTTGTGTGATTTCCATTGCAGTGTACACAAATAGCATTTTCCATTCCAGTTGTACAAGTTTTATAATTATGCTCACCTTTGCAGATGCTGCAACGCTCAGAATTCTTACAGAATTTAGCTAAATGTCCATACCTCAAGCACCGGTAGCATTGTTTAACTGGTGGTATATATGGAGTGACATTGTGGCGCCAACCTCCAATATCCAGATATTCAGGTAATACAGATGCAGCAAAAGTAATTGTCACGGTTAGAGTTGGCTGTAACACATATCCATGAGTCAAGGTATTTTTTCTTAAAATTCTTTTAATAGCAATAATTTTCTTAGAACTCGATATCATAGTATATATTTTTTTATTAGATATATTTGTAGGTACATTTCTAATAACGCCTGTAACTTCTGTTGAAGAAGCAGGAATACTGGCCTTAAAATGGTAGTCATTTAAAAAAGTTTTATTATTTAAAAAAGCATTGGCTAAGTCTGGCTTTTGAAAGTATACTCCGATTTTGAATTTATTTATAGATCTAAGATAAGTTACCCCTTTATTAAAACGTTTTAAACAGGAGGAGAGTGAGAGCAAGTCTCTGGATCCAATGGTTTTCTGACTATCTGAGGATTCTACAAAGACAACAAATTCTGTCCCAGGGGATTCCTCGGGATATCTTCTAATATAATCTGTGACGTAGTAAGGTTTATACTTATCGGCCTTATCAATTTCAGATTCTGAGTCAGTAGAAGTATCTTCCGAATATATATCCTTGTCATTACAAGGTTCATGGTCTACATCACCTGAATCGTCATCTTTTTTTTTCCTTTTCCTACAACTGCGCTTCCCCATGAATGCTAATTATATTACTGTCGCTGAATTTAGTGAAAATATAATATTTTATTCAATAATAAGAATTGATAGAGATAGTTTTTATAAATTAATAAAAAAAATTTAAAAAACCCGCTTGTTCTTATTCGAGTTTCCCGCCTTTTTTCAATTAAACAATTACAATAGGTTCTGTAAAATTATTTTGACAGCTGTGGAACGTTCCGTTCCGCGTAGGAACTTATCAAATAGCGGTGCAAATACTTCAAAGAGGCACAAACATATTGCAGTACCTTGGTGGAATAACAGGTGTGCGACAGCTGTCAATGATAGTAAAGCGGCTTACCTTAGGTTTAAACAAAATCCAACTCTCGATAATTACATAAATTTTAAAAGAGTTCAAGCTGTTAAAAAGTTAGTAATTAAGCAAGTAAGACAACAGGGGTGGCAGGAATTTTGTTCCAAATTTAATAGATTAACACCAATTTCCACTGTTTGGCAAAATATGAGAAAACTAAATTCAAAACATCGTCAAAATCATTTTAAAGATATATCATGGGTCAATGATTTTTTACGCAAATATACTCCTGACTTTGTACACTCACCTTTTGATGACAAACAGTTTAATTCTGTTAATTCATGCCCAAAATTTCTCACTGACCCATTCTCAATTGATGAAATATCCAGTGCAGTAAAATCTAGAAAAGATACAGCTAGTGGCCTTGATCGCTTAACATACAATATGTTTCGATTGCTGAATAAAATAAACCTTACTAAACTCTTACAAATTTTTAACGATTTATGGAAGGACTGTATTATCCCACCAGAATGGAAAATGGATTGTTTGATTCCAGTAATTAAACCCGGTAAAGATCCTACAAATTTCGACTCCTATAGACCTATAACATTGACGTCCTGTGCAGGCAAATTATTCGAACAATTAATTAAACAGCGTTTAGAGTTCTTTATTGAAAGTAATAGTATATTACCATCGAATCAATTTGGTTTTCGCCGTGGATATTCAGCGCGCGAAAGTTTAGCGAACTTCTATGTCGACCTTAGTACTGCTTTGAATAACGATGAATATGTTCTATCTGTTTTTTTAGATGTCGTAGGAGCTTTTAACAATGTAAATTTAACAGTTCTATCTTCGATTCTATCCTCATTTCTTCCAATGAAACTTATCGAATGGATTTATAATTTTCTTAGTAATAGAGAAGTGTATGTTAAAGTAAATAGTAAATTAATAGGACCTAGGTTAAGCTCTAAAGGAGTATGTCAAGGTGGTATTTTAAGCCCGCTACTATATATTTTATATATCTATAAACTTAATTTAGTTTTAGGAAACAGTGTGAACAACTTGCAATTTGCCGATGATTTATTAATTTATATAAAAGGAAAGAATATTATTGATATGCAATTAGTGTTAAATGAGTCATTAAAAAGACTTGAGAAATATTTTTCTCTTCTTTCCCTCGATATTAGTTTAACCAAAAGTAAAGTAGTTGTTTTTCATCAAGTTCATAAATATGTTCCATTAATGAATATTATATATAATAATCAAACTCTTCCAACAGACTGTAGCGTTAAATTTCTGGGGGTAATTTTTCATCAAAATTTAAAATGGGATCTATACGTTGATTGCTTAGTAGATCGTGCTTTAAGAGCCACTAATATAATAAGATCTGTAATTGGTCGTAACTGGGGAGCTGATCCTAAAATTATCCTTTTACTTTACAAATCTCTTGTTAGAAGTAATTTTGATTACGCTTTCTTTTGTTATGCCTCAGAACATAAATTAGTAGAAAAACTCGAAAAAATTCAAAATATGAATTTAAGACTTATTTTAGGTGCTATGTATACTTCTCCAATTATCTCAATGCAAGTAGAATGTAATTTGCCTCCTATCCTTCTTCGTTTCGAATACCTAAAACTCAAATTTCTCTTCAAAGTTTTTTCAGTTTCCAATAACCCACTCATACTCAAATTATTAAATTGCCCCATTTCTATGTTTTTGAATAAAACTATTATCAATGATTTGAATTTACGAGATGAATATAACATCTATAGTAGTAAGATACTTCCTTGTTATAATGGCCTTTATGAGAGTAAGTTCTGTAAGATCAAAATTGTTATACATAAAGACATAAAAGAAAAGCACGATATGTATGAGACTTTATCAGAATTTATTGACTACAGGCAGATATATACAGATGGTTCCAAAAATGCACTTAGCACTTCAGTGGCTTTTTACGATTTGTCAAATAGATTTGGTCACGGTTATAAAATTTCAACTTTGGCTAGTATTTACACAGCAGAAGCAAAAGCTATATTTTTAGCATTAGAATACATAGAAAAACAGGTACTATATTCGAAATGGATTATAATTACAGATAGTATGAGTGTTCTTATGGCATTAAAAAATAACACAATCATTTCATCATCAAACTACTTAATTCAAGAAATTCGTAATAAATATTATCATCTCTGTACTATATATGGAAAAGATATTATCTTCATCTGGACCCCTTCACATATTGGAGTGTTTGGGAATGAACAAGTAGACACTTTGGCTAAAATTATTAATTCAAGTGCTGCTCGTGTTCAAGATTTACCCCTTTGTTACTCAGATTGTAGTATTGGAATACATAAAATCGTTACAACTAAATGGGAGGAGCATTGGACTCAAATATTACAGACTAAAGGCAAATGGTACCGCAAAATTAATTGGCGTATTGGAAAACCGTGGTTCTGCAAAGGAAAGGACACAAACAGAAAATTTTACACCAATATTTGTAGATTACGAATCGGCCACGGACATTTCAACGAACACCTGCACCGAATGGGCATGATCGCTTCCCCATCATGCACATGGTGTAACTCAAATACAGCCCAATCTCTACATCACCTTTTTTTTGATTGCTCTGAATTTGTCATTCAAAGACACATTATGTTTGACGAACTTAGGATTATCTTCAAAAAACCCGAAAATATCCCGCACTCAATCCCGCTTCTCTTAAGATTTCCTTCTTGTTTCAAAGCTATTTTCACTTATATTACTACAACATTCAAGGAGCTATAAGAATACTTTTATTGAATTGCAAGACAATAATTTTTTATAATTATTTATTTTTAATTTGATAAATCCACTGGTTTAAGAAAACTCAAGAAAAGATATTTATGAAAATGTACTTACCGGATTTGACAAATGAAATATTGAAGATTATGACAATAATTGAAGCGACATTAGAAAAATAAAATTCCAGACAAATTATCTTTTTGAAGACTAGGCAGCATGGTCTCCGACCTTAGCCTGTTCCAAACGGAACAAACGTACTAAAAAAAAAAAAAAAATGTAACTATTTGACATTACCTTTCTATCTGGTTTGGATTATTCCAGACAATTTATCTTTTTGAAGACTAGGCAGCATGGTCTCCGACCTTAGCCTGTTCCAAACGGAACAAACGTACTAAAAAAAAAAAAAAAATCTATCTGGTTTGGTTTAAAGTGTTTTGCTTTATTTACTATTATTAAAACATAATAAAATATATAATAATGTCTACAAGTTCTCTAGTAAACAGCAGTGATATATATACATACGAATATTTCCTTCAAGAAAACATATGCAGATTTTGTTGGGGTCTCGATGCTGTGAAAGAAGTAATATCGGCCGAGCGTGGAATGGATAGTTTTATTAAAAACGAACTTGTGGACATGATACGAGACTGTTTAGATCTAGATTTAAGTGATAATAGTTATCCTAACAAAACTTGTATGAATTGTTGTAGTAAAATTGAGAAATTCCACGAATTTAAGACTTCTTGTCGAGAAAAAGATAGAAAGCTGCGAGAAATTTTTAAAAATAAAACGAGACCTACAGTTCAGTTACAGGGGTGTGTTAAAGTTGAAAAACAGGAGGAGGAGGACATTTCAAATTTGGAATTGGAAAAGAATCATTTGAACGGTGAGTTTCTTGCAAGTCTGCAATATTCAGATGAAGAGAGCAAGTACCAACCGTCAGAAATTGAAATTGAAATAGAAAAAAAATCGATTGTGAAAAAGAAAAAATATAAACCAAAAAGGTCACCGACATATTGCAATATTTGTAGGTTGGATTTTGAGACCATAGATAGATTAAGTAGCCATAATGCAGAATCTCATGGTATAGAAGAGGGAAGTGGTTTATATAAGTGTTTTGGTTGTGAAAAGAGATTTAAAAGTAGGAAAACACGTCTTGGGCATGAAATTAATTTTTGTAAAGGCTTAAAAGATGGTTATAAGTGTGCATTATGTAGTAGATTTCTACCAAAACGGAGAATGTATGAGTCTCATATGAGAGACCACAGACACAATCCTAATGTCTCAGTGGAGTTACCAGAGGATATATTTGAATGTGCAAAATGCTTGCATTGTTTTAAGACAAGAGAATGTTTAAAAAAACATATGACCGAACATGATACAGATAAGAAAAATTTTGTTTGTGAAGTAAGTTTCTAATATAATTAGTTACTTTATTAAAAAGATATTTCTAAATAATTTCTAGGTGAACAATCTCTTTAGAAAGTTTTTATATTGTAAATACACATTGCTAATTTAAAAGAGAAATAATAATAACATATCTCTCAGATTGGTTATTTGATTAAATTTTTTTTATTATATGTATGACTGCCAACATTTGAAGATTGATCACCACTATTACAACCAGAAATTCCATAACCTTCCATTTTGTTTATGCACATTTTAGGACATGTTTTCTGTGAACAAAATGGCATATAAATATATATATATATTTAAATATATCCCATGTGTAGATTTGTTTAGTTACAATTTTATTATATTAGTTATATGTAATAACTAGTTGTTGCCTGCAACTTCGTTTGCTTTTCTGTCATTTTTCGTAAAATAAGTAGCCTATCCTTCCTCACGGTTCAGTAGTTTTGATGTAACAGATAGGTTAACTTTCGTATTTTAGTAGGGAAATATAATGTCAATCCACAATACTGTTGAAAAATATGACTAAACATATTTATTTTTAATTTTATTTATTTATTTTTTATATATATAATTTTAAGGAGAACAACTGAACACGCGACGGAAGCTTAAAAATGGAGTAACTTCTCCCGTTTTCCCAACATTTCCCTTCACTGCTCTGCTCCTATTGACCGTAGCATGATGAAAAGTATACTATAACCTGCCCAGGAGTATGAAGAATAGAAGAAGAAAGTACCAAGTTTTGTTAAAATCCGTCGAGTAGTTTTTGTTTCTATAACGAACATATAGACAGACAGACAAAAATTTCCTGATTGCATTTTGTCATCAGTATCGATCACTAATCACCCCCTGATAGTTATTTTGGAAATATATTTCATGTACAGAATTAACCTCTGTACAGATTTATTATAAGTATAGATTTTTACACACAACAGCCCAAAAGAGAGGCTAAGCGCGGAAGAGTCCAATTTACATATGTAATAAAGATTCTATTACAGACTTGTGGCCGAGTGTTCACCCGACAAGATTACCTACACAAACACAAATTGACACATACAGGCACAAAACAACATGTCTGTTCACACTGCGGGTTCAGGACCACACAGAGGTCCTCTCTTACTGTACATATTAGGTAAGTATGGCTGAGAAATTAAAAAGTGTAATTATTATTTCTTTATACAACTCAGAATGGCAAACAAGCTGGCGGCCCACCTGATGGAAAGTGGTAACCATCGCCTATAGACATGAGCAGTACTGTGGACATAATGTAAGAAAGACTCTGTTTTCCGCACTTAGCCTCCCATTTGGGCCGTTGTGCGTGTGAGTCGTGGCTAGTACAGCCAACCTAGCTCCGCCCAGAAGCGCAGAAGCTTCCTGGGTTCTTCACAGGCTTCACGGAGCGACCTCACCGTTCCGAGGATTTCTAAACGTTGATGGGCCACAGCCTCACATTCCAGGATTACGTGAGCAGCCGTTTCTTCAGCGTCGAAACAGCCTCGACATAGAGGGCTGTCTGTGGCTCCTATTGTGTATAAATGTTTGTTTAATGGACAATGACCCGTTATTGTCCCTATCATTATTTTGAGGTTTTTTCTATCTAGATGTAATAAACGTTTTGATAGTCGTTGATTCAACGTAGGTACGGCCAATTTTGATTGTCTGCAATCAGTAGCCTGTATCCATCTTTGGTTTTGTATGTCAGCGGATCTTTGACGAATCCACATTCGAAATTGCGAGAACGGAAGAGGAAGAAGTGGATACGGGCCTACCACCCTCGTTCCTGAGCCTCTTCTAGCCAGTTCGTCTGCGGCATCGTTACCATAAGATCCACTGTGCCCTCTTATCCATTGGAGGATAACTCGGTTATTGGAAGATATCCTATCCAGTGAATGGTGGCATTCAATTATCAATTTGTTGTTTGTCTTGTTGTTTCGTAATGCTTTTAGTACTGCTGCGCTGTCAGATAAGAATCTAATGCTAAAACCATTTATTCCTAGCTTATGTACAGCTGCAGCAGCCTCGGTTATTGCAACACATTCGCATTGGAATATTGAGCTGTGTACGCCAAGCGGTATGTGCACGTTTATATTCAGGTCTAACGAAAAGACTCCGGCTCCTGAACCGTTCTCGGTTTTGGAGCCATCGGTGTATATGCGTAATTCATGTACACCGGATTGGTCCTTTTCCTCTTCTTGAATTTGTATTTGGTATTTTTTGTTAAATATATAATGATTATGAGTCCTGTCACACGGAGCCGCAATCAAAGGTTCATATTCGATTGCCTGGTTCAGAATAGAAGTGTGGGGACTGTAGTGATTTTTACCCCATAGATCCAGATGCATTAGTCGGATAGCGGCTAACGCCGCTTCCTGCTGTATGTGCAGGTCTAGGGGTGTTATGTTGAGGGCCAACTCTATTGCTGTTGTAGGAGCTGTTTTCATGCAGCCGCTGACAGAAGAGCAAAACAGTCTCTGAAAGCTTTTTAGTTTGGCGGCGGTGGTCGATAGTTTTGTCCTCGGCCACCAAACCAGTGCACCATAGACCAACATTGGCCTGATTACAGCTCTGTACAGCCATAGAGTTATTTTTGGCGAAAGACCCCATTTGTTTCCTAGCATCTTTTTGCACTGGTAGAATGCAATTGTGGTTTTGTTAAGTTTGTAGTCAAGATGTTTATTCCAAAGCAATTTACTGTCTAGTATTATGCCAAGGTACTTGACTTCTTCCTTAAGTTTCAGTTCCGTATTGAAGAGTTTTGGTAGTCTGTAAGGACATGTAACTCTTCTATTTGTGAACATGATTAATTCTGTTTTTGTAGGATTAACCGAGAGTTCATGCTGTGCGCACCATCTCTCAATTATTTCAAAAGCTACTCTCATGCGATCACACAGAGTACCTTCGAAGCTTCCTGTTAAAAGTACAGCTATATCATCCGCATAACCTACCGTGTAGAGGCTGTTATCGTTAAGCTCTATTATGAGCTCATTTACGACTATATTCCACAATAGTGGTGACAGTACACCGCCTTGTGGACAGCCCCTACCGACGATTCCTCGTGTGGTAGTATTTACAGTAAATTGTATAGCTCGTTGTTTAAGCATGTTATGTATCCATTCTCTAAGTGTTATTTCTACTCCATGTGTAGCTAGTGCCCGACTTATACTGGCAAAGTTTGTTTTGTCGAATGCCCCTTCGATGTCTATAAATGCACCTAAGGTTGGCTGCTTCGATTGCAATGCATTGCCTATTCGGGATACTACGTTATGAAGTGCTGATTCAGTTGACTTGCCTTCACTGTAAGCATGTTGGTTAGGATGTAAAGGTTTGCACAGGGAGACTTGACATCTAATCTCTTTGTCACATAGTCTCTCCAAAGTTTTCAAAAAGAACGAGGTGAGACTGATGGGTCGAAAGGATTTGGCCACAGTGTAATCTCCTCTACCTGGTTTAGGAATAAATATAATTTTTACCTCACGCCATTTCAAAGGTATGTAACGGTGAGCTATGCACGCTCGGAACAGCTGTACTAAGTAGTCAGCTATGACGCTCCCGCTCCATTTCAGAAGGGCTGGAAATATTCCATCCAGGCCTGCCGCTTTAAATGGTAGAAAGGTACTGATTGCCCATAGTAATTTTTCTTTATCTATAACTCTGTTTGCTACTTCCCAGTCCGAGCTACTGGTTTCCCTTTCCTTGTATGGTTCCCATGACCACTCCGCAGTAGTCTGGAATCCTGGAAAATGTGTGGTTAGTAGCAATTCGGTTGTTTCTGTGTCGTTCTTTGTATAATTATTATCAGGTTTCTTGAGGCAACCTATTGTATGATCTTTCTCATTAGAGAGACATGCTTTTACTTTAATCGCCTGGTTATTGTTTTCTATATTTGTACAAAAACGCCTCCAGCATTCTTGCTTTCTCTGGCGTATGAGTTTCTTATATTGTTTTTTGGATGTTGTGTATTTATTCCAGTCTTCTTGTGACCGTTTGTTCATGGCTATGTTAAACAATTTCCTTAACTTACGACGGTGTCTTTCCAATTTTGGACACCACCAGTGTTGCCTCCCCCATACTGTGGTGTGGTTAGGGCACAGGACTGTTCATAGCTTGAGGTTAAAATGGACGTGATGTAGTTTGCACTATCGTCCAGATCTGTTACCGCTAAATCGTCTAGTAGTGGCAGTTGATTGTAAAATTTTTCCCTGACCAGTGTAAGAAATTTATGTTGGTCAGTCCTTCGAGGTATACGTCTAGGCTGTGGTTTGGGCAACTCCATATTAATGGAGAATCGAATCCATCTATGATCTGAGCATGATATTTCATTGGATACATGCTACTGTGGACATAACAGAGTATACTGTTTCGCCCATGATACCCCCCATGCGTTGCCATTCCTGGGGACTCTAATGTTATTCACTGCCATATCCCACCCTTTAAACCGAAATACAGCCATGCAAACACAACTGCTTCATGGTAACAACACGAATGGGACAGAGGTGCCTTAGTAAATTAAATTAATTTAGATAGATAGCTAAGATAGATACAGCACACAAATAACAATAGACACACATAGTCATGTGTTGTGGAAGTCGCTGGCGAAAGCCCCAAAAACAAAATTATTTTAAAATTTAATAAAATTTCAAAGATTACAATAAAATAATGTTTACTTCTGATCGATATTAGATACAGAATCATCATGTAACATCGTTTCAGCTGTTAACTGTCCACTATTGAACATAAGCTTTCCCCATAATGGGAGTTTTGGGATAAATTAAGCAGCGCTAAGTAATAACTGTCTTTATCTACACTAATATTATAAAGAGAAAAGATTTGTATTTTTGTGTGTACAGTAAAGAGTATCTATCTATCTATATAGATAGATACTCTTTACTGTTTCCTCCAAAAGATTACAATAGTAAACTTATTATAAATATAAACAATTACAAGAAATAATCACAGTGAGACAACAATGGGCGACCTTATCGCTAAGAGCGATCTCTTCCAGGCTACCTTTGGATGGAGAGGAGTAATTATAAACAATTTGGTGGGAGGCACGATGAAAATTTTTGTTAGTTCTAGATATGGAAGATGTAATACATATAATAATATAAAAATGTATGTATGTTTGTAATGAATAAACTCAAAAACTACTTTGCCGATTTCAAAAATTCTTTCACCATTACAAAGCTACATTCATCCTGAGTAACATAGGCTATATTTATTGCTAGAAAAGATTAGGGATCCTTACTAAAACTTTAGTAACGTAACTCGAGGTGTAAAAATATGCTATAAAATATCTTTGGTCGCGTGCGCTGCGGAAACTATTGGTGATAGAACAAAAGTATGTTCTACAATATTGAAGAAAATATCAATAACTATAAAAAAGTTAGCGATACCATATGTCCAACTATTATCGTTATGGCATAATAACCACTTTTTATATTTTAAAAGTTGATAGACTAAACAGAAGTATGGACGACACCATGTTGTTCATACTTCTGTTTAAATCCTTATCCAAATAAATCATATTGTTTTCAAAACTGTTTCAATTTATGTAGATTACTTTTTGAATTGTTCAAATCGGCTATTACATTCAATAGATATTACGAATTTAATAAGTCATAGAAATAGAAAAAAATAACGCTGTCGCGTTGTACATGTTATTCGTAGCTATTTTTTAATCCTTATCCAAATAATTTTGTATTCAAAATTGTTTCAATACCTGCAGATTACTTTTTGAATTTTTTAAATCGTAAGTATATATACCATTCGAAAGATATTATGTTAAAAAGTTAGATATATAAAAAACACTGTCCGCGCCGTGTTTGCCGCGTTGCTAGTTAATTCTATTAATATTTGTTACTCTTTCACGCTAAAACTACTGGACGTATTTCAATGTAATTGGTACACGGTCAGGTTATGTCCTAACTTAGCAATACTTTATATATTTACTAATTCATGCGGGCAAAGCCGCGGCACACAGCTAATTCTTAATAAGTTCAACACGAGTGGCCAACTGACCTGTTTTTATCCTCACCCATAATGATTCACAGGTGGCTTGCCGGCGTATACTGATAGTGCAGGCGGGGGGTTTTTTTTTTGATGAGTGAAAATGGTATGGTAACCCCGCTTACGCTAACGGGATACGCTGGCGGAGCACCAGTGAAGGGTGATAGATGAGAATGAAAACAGGCCAGTTAGCCTATCATGACGAATTCATTAGGAATTAACCATGATAGTTTCCAGGGGGAACCGCGTGGAGGTCGACCTGGTTAGGTATACTGCTAGCAATGGGACTCTTAGTCTCCATTACTAACAATCCCTTTCCCCCCAGTGCAGGCGGGGTTACCACTCCATTATCATTCATAATAAAAAATATTTTACGTACATCATTAGCAGTTGTTATTGCAGATAACAGATGGCGCTGTAATTAAAAACAATTTCGAGACAATAATGAAATGATTTTGTGTCAAATATAGCAAATTACAATCGAATTCAACTTGTATTTGTTGGAGACAGCGTGAGTTGGAAATATTGGATTTTATTGTAAAGTAAATAAGTGATATTTTGCCTTAGGATTTTAATTAAAAAAAAAAAAAAATTACAGGAAGCACACAGGCGAACGCCCATACAGCTGTGATGTGTGCCCGCAACGCTGCATATCCAGTTCAAACCTGCGCGCTCACAGGCGGAGACACCTTGGATTTAAGGAGTACGAGGTGCGTTGGACTGTTTTCAACCGACTTAAAAAAAAGAGGTTCTCAACTCAGTTGTATTTTTGTTATTTCAAAACGGCGTCATTTCTAATTTTTATTTTTATTTTCATCACCTTTAAAACTTCGTTCCCGTGCATCATCATCGTCTTTTCAGCCGTTAACTGCCCACTGCTGGATATACGTTTCCCCTATAAAGAGGAGTGTTGCTAATTATTGCCACGTTTGGCAGGCTGGTTGGCAATCGCAGTTGGGCTTTAGAGATGTTTTTAGAAGTACGCTGCTGCCGATCCCTCGACCATTAAGTTCTCTTAGTCGCCTCTTACGACACTCACGAGTAAGGAAGGCGTGGTCCATTCTATGCCGGGACCACAAGGCATTGCAAATTAATATAATCTATCTATATCTATACTTATAATAAATCTGTAGAGAGGTCAATTCTGTACATGAAATATATTTCCAAAATAACTATCCGGGGGGGGGGGGTGATTAGTGATCGATACTGATGCCAAAAATGTAATCAGTAAAATTTTTGTCCGTCTGTCTGTATGTTCGTTATAGAAACAAAAACTACTCGACGGATTTTAACGAAACTTAGTACTCTTTATACTGCTGGGCAGGTTATAGTATACTTTTCATCACGCTACGATCAATAGGAGCAGAGCAGTGAAGGGGAAATGTTGGGAAAACGGGAGAAGCTATCCCATTTTTAAGCTTCCGTCGCCTTAATGGTCATCCGTGCGATGCCGGGACGGGCCGCTAGTTATATATACATATATATACATATATATATATATATATATATATATATATATATATATATATATATATATATATATATATATATATATATATATATATATATATATATATATATATATATATATATATATATATATATATATATATATATATATATATAGACATACATATATAGACAAAAAAGAAATAAAAGACTAGATATTACATTTTGCGAGAGTGCCACAGTAACACAAAATGGTCACAACTCAATTTATCGCTTTGCCCTCAAAAGAGCAAAACACTGATATTCTGTTGCGGTTAAGAGCAAAAGTCAATTTGCGACATTTATAATTAATTAAATGACTAACAAATAGATTGCTATATCTATTAATACTATAGTTATAAACTCAACCGCAATTATTTTGTTGCATTGTTTATTAATTAAACATTATTAGGGTTCCGTATCAAAAATGTACAAAGAAACCTTTTCGTCATGATGGGCCAACTGACTTGAAAGTAGGAATTATGTGGAGAAGGGATTGCTAATAATGCGGACTACCAGTCCCATTGTTAGCAATAGCATCGGCTCGACCTCCACGCGGTCCCTCCTGGAAACCATTCAGTTTAATTCCAGGTATACTCATCATGATGAGCTAACTGACCTGTCTTTTCATTCTCACCTATCATCCTAACTGGCGCACCGCCGTCGAAAACAGCCCCGGGGGAAATACCTTGTTAGCAATGGAGTTTTGACAGCCTCGTTGCTAGCAATATGCCCTATCTGGTCGACCTCCACGTGGTTCCCCCTGGAAACCATCGTGAATAATTCTTGTTAAATTCGTCACGATGGGTTAACTGACCTATTTCATCCTTACATATCATCCCTCACTGGTGCCCCGTCAGCGTATACCGATACCGTAGGCGGGGTTACCATTTCGTTTTCACCCATTAAAAAAACCGAGAGTCCCGCCGGGGCTATCATTCCATTTTCATCTATAAAAATTCATCCATCGTGATGATTTGAAACCTTTCTGGTGATGATATATAGTTGAATTTTAAATGTTAACAAAATTTTATATTTGTTATGTATTTTTTTTATACAACTTAGAATGGCAAACAAGCTGAAGGCCCACCTGATGGAAAGTGGTAACCGTTGCCTATAGACATGAGCAGTGCCATGGACATAACAGAGTATACTGTTTCGCCCATGATACCCCCCATGCGTTGCCATTCCTGAGGACTCAGGTGTTATTCCTCTGTACCCTGTAAATTCACTGCCATATCCCACCCTTCAAACCGAAACACAGGCATGCGAACACAACTGCTTCACGGTTGAAACACGAATGGGACAGAATGTATTTGTAATGCACAATCATACAACTGTTGTTCCTTTGTTACAGTGTAATATTTGCAACAAGAAGTTCGGTTACAAAATAAGTCTTGAAGAGCACGTTGCGTCCACCCACGAACGTTCGCAGTGTTACCCCTGCGAGCACTGTGGCGCCATCTACACAAGAGTGAGAGGCTTACGGCGCCATCTGTTGGCCAAGCACGTGAAACAAGAAGCGACAATCAATAAGGATGAGAAAAAAGGCGCACAGCAAGACGTTTATACAAAGATGCCAACGGAAAATGTTACAGACGTAGATGGGAAGAAGGTCGAAAGTAGCATGAAGGCGGGAAACTACGAGTTGAAGGAAAAGGAAGAATATGTGCTTATTGCCATGTAATGTGATATTGTCAAAAATATATTGAATTATGTTTATTAAAAAGTTAAACATATTGACGTGTTTTTTTTTTAATAAATAAATAAATATATATATATATATATATATATATATATATATATATATATATATATATATATGGCGAACTATTATATAAATACTAATATATATTTATTGGGGGGAAAGTAATTGTTAGTAATGGAGACTAAGAATCCCATTGCTAGCAAACTATTATGGTTAATTCCTGATGAATTCATCATGATGGGCTAACTGGCCTGTTTTCATTCTCATCTATCACCCTTCACTGGTGCTCCGCCAGCGTCTCCCGTTAGCGCAGGCGGGGTTACCGTACCATATATATATATATATATATATATATATATATATATATATATATATATATATATATATATATATATATATAAAAAGGCAATATTATTTATTAAATAAATCTTTATTAATGTTAGGTATTTTATATTTTTCCTCTTTATATCTAATAGGTATCTGTATTAATATATATATAAAGTGGTGGTTAAATTAATTTTATTGCTAAAATAAATTTTTAGTTGCGAGTCTACAGTTTTATAAATCACGCCCTTTTTTGAGGGTAAGTGTTTAAATGGATATTTTGAAATATTTACTATTGTACTTTAATACATTTTTTTTCCGTCGTGAAATATCAAACAAGCTGACGGCTCGCCTGGTAGTAAGTGGTAACCGTCGCCAATAGACATGAATATTGAATAACATATTGTGATACTTCCATATTATAAAGTACATATAGGTTGGTAAAGTAAAACAGAGAAAATATAGTAGTATGTAACAGCGAGATAGACAGTAAGTGCTTTATATTATTCTCAATTTCGTGTATAATATAGTATATGTCATATATGTGTAAGTATATTTGTTATTCATATATATTTATTCGTTTATATATATGTAATTTTAGTATGTATGTATATCAATAATTACTAGTACCACATTCGAGTATTCTGACACTTCCCTATGGTTGACTGGGAGAGAATGCTTTTAGCATTAAGTCCGCCATGTACACATATACTCGTATGTACTAATGAATAAATAAATAAATAGACAAGTAAATTAAAAAAAAAATGAATTAATACAATAATAATCGTCATCATATCAGCCCTTAACCATTTATTGCTAAACATGCTTCTCCCCATGGGGGGTTTTGCCAAATAAATTAAATATTGGTCTTATTCAATCTATATTGCCATAAAATAGGTTACCCCCTTCCTTTCCCGTTAGTGTCGTAAGAGGCAACTAAGGGACGACGGGGAATGGGCAGCAGCGTCCCTTTCAAAACATTTCCAAAGCCAATCCGCTTGCCAAACGTGGCAACTACTGGTATAACCCTTTTAGATGGGGGGGAAAGGGATTGTTAGTAATGGAGACTGAGAATCCTATTGCTAGCAATATACCCAGCCAGGTCGACCTTCAGGCGGTTCTCCCTGGAAACTATCATGATTAATTCCTGATGAATTCATCATGATGGGCTAACTGGCCTGTTTTCATTCTCATCTATCACCCTTCATTGGTGCTCCGCCAGCATGTCCCGTTAGCGCAGACGGGGTTACCATACCATTTTTACCCATAAAAAAACCCCTTTAGATGATAGGCTTGTATCCAGTAATGGACAGTTAAAAGCTGATACGATGATGATGGTCAGTAAAAAAATGTTTGCTGCAACTAGTGCCCTGAATAGGTTACGTAATTTCCTCCCAGTTACCACCAAAATTTCGCCCTCACACTTGTTACTCCTGTCCATTCTTGATTATGCCGATTCATGTTATTTAGACCTCACCGAAGAGCAATTAAACAAGCTTGAGCGTCTTCAAAATTTATATATCCGCTTCATATTTGGTCTTCGCAAATATGATCACATTTCTCAATTTCGTACTCGACTCAAGACTTTCCTCCGGTGTGAAGTACCGTCGTGCTCTGAACTCCGAGTATTTTTTTTTTTGATGGGTGAAAATGGTATGGTAACCCCGCCTGCGCTAACGGGTTATGCTGGCGGAGCACCAGTGAAGGGTGATAGATGAGAATGAAAACAGGTCAGTTAGCCCATCATGATGAATTCATCAGGAATTAACCATGATAGTTGCCAGGGGGAACCGCGAGGAGGTCGACTTGGTTGGGTATATTGCTAGCAATGGGATTCTCAGTTTCCATTACTAACAATCCCTTTCCCCCCAAACTCCGAGTATTTTGGATGCTGTTCTAGCCACACTCTCAATGTAATCCCTGTAGTTAAGATCGAGACGCAGGCATACTCCTAGTAAAACGAGCTTTAAGGTTACTGCTGTTAAAATAATCAACTTGTCAAGAGAAAAACTCACCGTAAAAGAATATTAGAAGTGAATGTTACCAGTTTTAGTGTAATTCACTATATTTAACTAAATAAAGTGACGTGTACATGATTGCTTAAATTTACATACATTTTAGATTATATTTCTTTTAACATTGTATTACATTGATAATACATCGGTAACTATTCACACACCTATTTATTTATCGTTGGAGTCAGAACAGTTTCAATATTAAGGCTTATTGTGCGTTTTAAACCCTAGGTTTGCTGACTTTAAATACTTTATTTTAGGAAACTAAGTCTAACATCGAATCTACTATTGAGTGAGTGATATAATTACATGGTATATTAACTAATTATTTCAGTTACTTACCTATGTTTAATTTGAAATTAAATTTATTTCTATGACCTTTTTATTTTCTAATTGTTAACGAGACTTATAAATACTTACCTAATTATATGTATCAATCTCATAATTTCTACTTTTCGTATTGTTTTTGTATTCATATTGTTTGTGTACTGAATCTTTATTGATCAGAACAAAATTGCTTGTTTGTTTCAACTTCAAAGCACGGATGTTATTTTATAATATACCTATAGATTATTGTATATTAATTAATTTTTTTTTAATATAAATTGAAGACGTTCCAAATTAATGCATTCATTCAAATGCCTATCTACATAATAGTTACCATAAATCTTATTATTATTGTTATATCAGTCGGTAACTGTCCACTGCTGAACATAGGCCTTCCCTATAAAGAGTGTTTTTGAAGAAAAAGAAGTGGTGCATTTATTATGTGCCTTCGTAGATTCATTGCTAGAGGTGATATGCCAAATACTATATACTGTGACGATGGTAAAAATTTTGTACGCACTAGTAACGAGCTAAACAGATTATTACAAAACTAGTAAACACTCAGTAAATTTACGGGCAGTGAAGGTATTACATTTACCGGCTTGAGTTTTTTTTTAAATGCGTGATAATAGTATGGTAACTTCGCCTGCGCCATCGGCATACGCCGGCAGGGCACCAGCGAGCAATGATAGGTGAGAATGAAAAAGCAGGTCAGTTAGCCCATCGTTTTGAATACACCTGGAATTTAGCACGATGGTTTCGAGGAGGAACCGCGTCTCCACGACATAACAATCCCTTCACCCACGACAACCACTTACCATCAGGTGGGCCGTATGCTTGTTTACCACTTCAGTGGTATAAAAAATATATAAATACTCCGTATATGGTGAGTTTATACTGGATTAAAGTGATAGCTATGTGCATGATTTTTCAGTCGCAGATAAAATGTTTCTACAGCCGTCTACAAAGGGTGGTCATGCTGAAAACAACTTGTCCCTATGTAAGCCATCGAGTAATGGCAACGCTGGCGTATCAGAAAAAGAGTCCAGTACACCTGCTGAAGAGACGGTTGTCGTTCAAACTACATCTGCAGTGGATTACCAGCTAGAAATAACACCTGCGATTCATCCGCAGAAAGGTATTTTAAGACATTTATTAATAATAACATTTTAACTAGATTTTTACCTGCTGCAGAACAGAACAGAACAGAACAGAAATTATATTAACATCGAAACATTCAAATACTATTACCATTACTTGATTACAAATAAATATTAAATATTATACAATACAATTAATAAGACAAAGAATAATTATAACCAAATTAAAATAAAATAAACATAATTTCGCTTACATGTATTATTAATTATTAATTTAATGAGTTTTAAGATTTAAGTATTCATTTAAATTATAAAAAAACAGAAGAGAATTAATCTTCATTTAAATAGAATCTTGTAAACGATTTCTCTTTTAAATCGTCAATTTTTTTAATATTTTACTATTGGGTTTAGGATGTTGTTGTCTGCTGAGTAGAACCTGTAAGAAACTCAACAGATACTCTTTTCAAATTACCATGTAAAAGATATGTTTGCATTTGTATGGGTACTGTAACTATAATTGAAATTAAGTTCTATTCATATGTATTATTGGATGGAAAATAAATAAGGTAACATGAGCAGATCAGCGGGTCTGCCATGATATGAAATTCCGAAATTTCGGACTCAATTTCGTGTTTTTGTTTATACCAAAATCGGATCAATAAATGGAGTTTAACATTTCGCTCGTCATACATCCTATAATAAAAGTCCAAGGGAACAATATTTTAATATTTCCAAACGGCATGTATTATGTAATTTTAACATTAAATTTGTGTTACGTTTGGCTTCGATATTTCGGAAAACATTTCATGGTAGGCCCTCAGTACCCACAAGCAGCACCCGTTCACGTGTATCCACCATACTCGAGTCAGCCATCAACGACCCGGTAGTATGAAAAACTATAAAATAGGCTAGTTCTAGATGCCATGTTAAGAAAAAACATATACTAATAGTTAATTTTAAACTAATAAATAAAGAATAACGCATGGGGGGTGTCATGAGCAAAACAGTATACTCTGTTATGTCCTTGGTACTGCTCATGTCTATAGGCGATGATTATCACTTTCCGTCAGCTTGTTTGCCATAAAAAAAAAAAACACCGTTGTTGTTGTTAATATTTTACTGAACTAGGTGTTCTCTTACTGAAGTTCATATCACTGGTTATTTGTTTACTTTTATTTTGTTTAATTCCACTACCACCAGTATGTGTGTGACTGCCAACATTCGAAGATTGTCTTAATTTAATTTCTTTCTTTCTTTCTTCACAATTATAGAATTTAGCGGCGACTGTCCACTGTCTACTGTTAACGAGCTAATCGTGAAAAAGAAATGTAATCTTATTAAATGTATTACGGGATATATCACACATAATAAATATGAAATTATGGACGGCGACAAGGTCAAAATGTACACCGCGGTCGAAAGCGGAGACTGTTGCTGGAGGAATTTAATATCGCCGTATCACAGATTTGACATGAAAGTAAAAGATAATAATGAAGAAGTGGTACGTACTTGTATACAGGGTGGAAGGGACAGGTTGCCCAAAACGAAAACAGCCATTTTCCCACTGGAAATGCACTATAGACATATAATAAATTCTTAGCTTTGACGCCGCGCAATGTATTTGAAATTTTACGATCCAAACGACGCGCGATATCTACAAAGTGCTGTCAACGCGCTTCTTCGTTTCGTACGCTTGTAGCGTTGACCTTATACAGCTGAGGGCCTACCATGAAATGTTTTCCGAAATTTCGGAGCCGAACAAAACACAAATTTGATGTTAAAATTACATAATACATGCCATTTGGAAATATTAAAAATGTTAAAATATTGTTCCTTTGGACTTTTATGATAGGATATATGACAAACGAAATGTTAAACTCCATTTATTGGTCCGATTTTGGTATAAACAAAAACACGAAATTGAGTCCGAAATTTCGGAATTTCATTTCATGGTAGACCCGCTGATTTCGCGCGTCGCGGTAGGATTTTAATACGAATATTACATTGCTGCTTTTTGGTATTTCACAGTATTTATAAAATATTTTTATTTCTTTTATATTCTGATATAACATTATAGATAATTGTAATTTTTCGGAAAGAGTTTACACTGGTTTTCAATTCAGAACAATGGTCTGATTTCACTGTTTCAGTTTTTGCCAACCTGCCCCTTAGACCCTGCGGGTCTACCATGAAATGAAATTCCGAAATTTCGGACTCAATTTCGTGTTTTTGCTTATACCAAAATCGGACCAATAAATGGAGTTTAACATTTCGTTCGTCATACATCCTATCATAAAAGTCCAAAGGAACAATATTTTAACATTTTTGATATTTCCAAATGGCATGTATTATGTAATTTTAACATCAAATTTGTGTTTCGTTCGGATCCGAAATTTCGGAAAACATTTCATGGTAGGCCTTCAGTATTATTTTTGTGGGCAACGATGTAAACTATAAATTATAGTTGTGTAACAGATTACGTTCTGAAGAACTGTTCGAAATAATGGCCACAGCCACCTTTTATCATAGCACTGCTCGCTATCGACAGGCTCAGGCTATGGAATGAGCTCCCCTACCGAGGTTTTTCCTAGAGACTATAGTATGGGGTTTGTCAAAAAGGGTGTATTAAGGTTTCTTCAGGGTCGGCGACGCGCACGTGACATCATCTAGTGTTGCAAGCGTTCATAGGTTACAGGAATAGTTTACTATCAGACGGGCTGTATATTTGCCACCGTCGTGGTATAAAAAAAATGTAGTATTCATGTATTATAAATTGTTTTTGCACAGAACGCCAAATAATCATTTTTAAAGGCAATTTTTTATATATTACATTACATTACTTTTTATTATTATTTTCGTAGGATAGTAGTATATTTTTTTTTAATAAATAACATGTTATTCGTTGATAAATTAGATATTTTTTTTTATACAACTTAGAATGGCAAACAAGCTGACGGCCCACCTGATGGAAAGTGGCAACCGTCGCCTATAGACATGAGCAGTACCATGGACATAACAGAGTATACTGTTTCGCCCATGATACCTCCCATGCGTTGCCATTCCTGAGGACTCGGGTGTTATTCCTCTGCACCCAGTAAATTCACGCCATATCCCACCCTTCAAACTATAGCTTTCTATGGGTGAATTTTAAAATTCAGTTAAATAGTTTTTTAGTTTATTCATTATCATTATTATTAGTTTTCTTTTATGTTTGTAAACTGTCACAATATTGTACGCCGCTCTACCCGCTGACATTGATGTTCCTTTCCACTTTGGGTGTTGCTGGAAGAGAACTCTTTTAGAGTTAACTTCTTTTAGACTTCTTTTTATAGTTAAGCTCGCCTTTGTACATTTACTTACCTCTGTCATATTTTTTTATGTATTATCAGAGTGTGATAAATAAAGACAATCATACAAAAACAAAATTTTGTCCCTTTAATATTATTTTAATTTTAGACTTATTAAAAAATTATTTTCAGATAATTCAGTTCCGCCGCCATTACTCCCGCTGTGTACATAAAGTTGAAGTGGTATTAACCTCGTCGCCGGATACTGTCGTCGGTTATGTTGAACAAGAGGGCAAATGTTGCCATAATGGTTTGCTTGTAAAGAACTCAAGCGGTGACATTGTGGCACGGATCATGGAACCTTGCTACCTTTGGCTCAGATTATGCAACGACGTGACGTTTACTGTAAGTATTGATTGCTTATTCTATGCCGGGACCACACGGCCAATTAGGTCAAATTTTGCAAATTAGAACCACTTCGTTAGCTTAAACGTTTCTAATGAATATTTATGATTTAGCTTAAATTTTGTGTATACAAGATAAACACCTTTAGTTTTGGATATAATACAAGGAACTCTCTCTCTGTCTGTCTGTCTCTCTGTCCGACGTGCGTCTGCGTGTCTGTCTGCGTGTCTGTCTGCGTGTCTGTCTGCGTGTCTGTCTGCGTGTCTGTCTGCGTGTCTGTCTGCGTGTCTGTCTGCGTGTCTGTCTGCGTGTCTGTCTGCGTGTCTGTCTGCGTGTCTGTCTGCGTGTCTGTCTGCGTGTCTGTCTGCGTGTCTGTCTGTGTGTCTGTCTGTGTGTGCGTGCGTGCGTGCGTGCGTGCGTGAGTGTGACCGTGCGTACGTGCGTATGTGTGTGTGTGTGTTATATAGTCAATAGTCAGTATTAAATGTTGGTAGTAGCATACTAGTGGTAGAGGATTAAAACAATACTAAACAGCTAATTAGTGTTACGGATATCCGCAATGTAACATTTAATTCCGTAAAATATAACAAATACAAATTTTAATATATTTTTTATTGTCAGATGTTATTCCTCTGGACCCAGTAAATTCATGCCATATCCCTCCCTTCAAACCGAAACACAGCCATGCAAACACAACTGCTTCACGGTAGAAACACGAATGGTTACAAATGTTTAGAAGTACCCAATATATAGATATCGGATATTACCCGTTTCTAATTACAGGTTTACTCAGCAGATGGTGAGACGGAGGTTGGAAAAATAAAAAAAACATGTTGGGCCAAATTATGTTCAGAAAGGCTCAGAACTAGTGACCAATACTGTCTTTATTTCCTCGAAAGCTTGGACTTCAAACTAAAAGTCTCGTTACTCGGAGCGTGCATTTTAATTGTAAGTGTTTTGATCAATTTTCTCAATTGACTTCAAAAAAGTAGTCGGTTTGAGAACCGATCTAAATTGTATAAAAAAAAAAAAACGAATTGAGATTCGGTTTTTTTTTATACAACTTAGAATGGCAAAAAAGCTGACGGCCCATTTGATGGAAAGTGGTAACCGTCGCCTATAGACATGAGCAGTACCATGGACATAACAGAGTATACTGTTTCGCCCATGATACCCCCCATGCGTTGCCATTCCTGAGGACTTAGGTGTTATTTCTCATATAGACAGAGCAAGGAGCCTCAAAAACGGGTGAATTTTTTGTGAGTTAGTAGTCAAATAAGCTGACTCTTTTTTTTTAATAAAGTTTTTTATACTACGCACACAATGTATGTTGATGTATCTATGTTTTATTACTTAATAAATAAAATAACTTTTCGCTCATTAAAAAGGTGCAGAATTTAAAGACAAAATAAATATAGAAGTTATAAAGGAATCACTCATAACTATTTTTCACATAAAATTGTATGAAAAAGTTGACGCGCGGTTTTTCGAAGCGTTTTTATGGAAACTCTATCTGTATAATCTAAGGGTGTACAGTACAAATTTACATTTATAAAAAAATTTACAAATTTGTATTTTTTTTCTTGTTTATGGTTTTTACGTTATTTTTTTTTTTACAGGACTACATTTACTTTGAAGACTGTTGTATTAAAGAAAAGAATTGCTGTTGTCAATTGCTATGCGGCAGTTTCATGGATTGTTTTTAGCGATTAAATGTTTATTAGCGCTTAATTTAAATCATACCTGCCTCATTTTGAAGAATTGAGCATAAAAATACGTACAAAATCCAACAAAGTGCCTTTTTACGACACATTGATACTTACTTTTTTAAAAGTAAACAAAGCGCGCCACTTTTTCAGTGTTACAAGTGATTAAAATAGACATTGTCTTTTTTAATCAAGTAATGTTCGCCATTTTTTTTGTACCAAAATTGCTAGGATTGCATTGATTGGTTATTATTTATTTTGAAAGTGTTCCGCTAAAAATCGTAGAATACTTTAGATATTTTACAATTCTATTATTAAAAAGATTGCATTTATTTATCTTTGGTATTTTTTGAAAACTGATTTTTATTCTTTATTGTACACAAACATAATGTTAGAAACAATTCATTTTAAATGTAATGTACAAAGGCGAGATTATCTCTCATAAGAGATTTCTTCCAACATACCTTTTCAAGTGAATTGTTTTGTTATTTAAAAATAAAATGTACGTCATCAAAATCAAATTTTCAGTGACGGCATAATAAGAATATTTATTAAATGACAAACGCTTAAAGTTCTCTAGCAGAGCCTTTTTTAAATAATCAATTAGAAAATTTGAAGATTGTTAATATTGTTTTTAAAAATTGATAACTGTAACAATGTTATAGTTTAGTAGGTATATTAAACTATGAATGCACACAATTGTTTACATTGATTTGTTATGGATTATAGAAACGTGAGTTTCCGAAATTGTTCGCTAGAGGCGCTTCTATCGTTAACAAACGCAATGCATTAGAAATATCAAATTATGTGCTCATGACTATAATCTCTGATAGGATAATGAAAGGTACCATCGACTGTTGCAATTTTGATGTTATCTCCACATAAGGGAAGATGTTGCTAGTAATTAAAATTAATAGTCTTATTGCTAGCTAAATATACCCAATCTGGTCGACTTTTATGCGATCTCACTTACAAACTATTGTGATTAATTAACACGATGTCTCGACTGACTTTAATTTCTCCTCATGTATTGACCCTTGCTGGTATTAATTCCAATATCATGCATTAAAAGGATAAGCCTGTAGTAGAATGTTTGGGTACTGAGCATAGGTCCTTAGTAGGGGCACAGATAATATAACCTGGTATGAGCAAGCTTTCGGTACTATGTTTATTATGACTAAAAGATAAAAAAAATAGTCGAATAATTAAGAATTATGTATCTTGTCATTTTTATATTTATTTTAATATCCGTTTTATATTTTAAGCGTATTAATAATAAACATTGTAATGTATAATTAAATATTAAGGTTTTTTTTTTATATTGTGAAAAAAATAAATTACAATATTACATGTATCACATCTCCATATTTAGAAAAAATAGAATTTCATCGTGCCTCCGATCAAACTGCATATAATTACTCCTTACCATCCACAGGTTTTTTGAAAGAGATCGCTTTTAGCGATAAGGTCGCCCATTGTTTTCTCACTGTGATTATTTCTTGTAATTGTTTATATTTATAATAAGTTTACTATTGTAATCTTTTGGAGGAAACAATAAAGAGTATCTATTTATCTAAATTGTCAAACTTTATAGAAATATGCTGTAATGTAATAATAAAATCTAAATATTCATGTATGTTTTGAATAAATATATATTTCTCAAACATGCTTGGAAATGTGAGCATTATTTTGACAATTTTCTTCGAGATAAATCAAAATTGCCGTACTGATCAGATACATGCGGGCAGCGGCAGGCAAAAGTTGTATGAAAATCCATATCTGTCGTGTTTTGCGGCCAGATAAATTACTATGTAAACTCATATCTGTCCTGTAATTTAAAAATGGAATGACCTTTTACTTCGAAAAATGGCTACCAAGAAGGTAATACAAGGTTTTATTTAAATTACGAATTGGCTTGCAAATAGAAAGCTGTTTATTGAAAAAAAAAACAAAGGAACATTATGGCGCGTGAAAAATTATTATTGTTCGTTATTCGTCATTGAACTTAAAAAATAAAATTATGTTTTTGATTTCCGCGCATTGTTTGAGAAAAGTACTATACAAGCCTTGGCCACAAATAGACATTGATGGACTCACGTATGTGTGGCTCGACTATGCCTCGGTCCACATTTGCATGTTCGTCCATCAATGCCTCAGTTGCTGGCCGCTGCAGTAATGTACTATTACTTGATCATAGACTCAATCGTACTTACAAGGTCTAAACATTATGTAATTTAGTAGGTTTTTTTTTATACAATTTAGAATGACAAACAAGCTGACGGCCCACCTGATGGAAAGTGGCAACCATCGCCTATACACATGAGCAGTACCATAGACATAACAGAGTATACTGTTTCGCCCATGATACCCTCATGCGTTCCCATTCCTGAGGACTCAGATGTTATTCCTCTGTACCCAGTAAATTCACACCATATCCCACCCTTCAAACCGAAACACAGCCATGCAAACACAACTGCTTCACGGTTGAAACACGAATAGGACAGAGGTATCCAAGCAATCAACTTTTGTACAAAGTCTCCCACTGGTGAATAGGTGCATGTTTATTTGTCATTTTATCGTATGTAAAATATATTACTTTAAACAAATTTTATTTTATTTAAACATAAACAAAGTGTCCATTATTATATCGGTTATTATGTAATTACATTATTTTCGATTCGATCGCATTCACGTTTATTTGATAATTTTGTATGGAAATCTGAATTTCCGAAACTATCCGCTAGAGGCGTTGCTAAGTTTCTGATACAAACTTATATAGTGGACGCAAATCCGGCTGAAATTTTTTGGTACAACTCTCAGTAGATGCTCTAAGGCTAAACGCCTTTTTATAGTAAGAAATATTATTATTTATATATTTAATAAATATATAAATAATAATATTATATATAGCCTATTGCAAATTGAATGTTTTTGTGGTAATACCGTGAATGTTACCGTTATCTAATAATAGTGTTTTATTTTTAGCACCCATATCTACATTCGTATACTGAAGAGAGAGAATTAATTATGTACATATTAATTTAAAACTATTGCAATTCTTGATTTAATTTTAGTTATAACTACTCAATAATATATGGCGTTGAACAAATTACTGTAGACGAAACATGCAGCTCTGTAAGAATGAGTCCTGTTTAGCTCAGAAACTCAACAGGACTAACTCATATTTACTCATAGTTATAGTATTATCATTTTCATATTTTGTTAAAAAAAATTGTGCCAGTACACAAATTAATTTATATTCCATATATTACGGTAATTTTTTACCATTAAACAGGTTGTATGCTTATTTGCCAGTATTGCAGTAAAACAAAAAAATATTCTTTCAACTTTTTTGTCAAAAGACGTATAAAAATGACTAAATAAGTCAATTAAGAAGGGACAGTGTATTAAATGTAAGGCCAAAAATTAAGGAAAAAGAAACGAACAATATTTACAAGATTTTTATTTCTCATCTATAAAGACTAAATAAAAAAAAAAAAATCTTAAACAATTTAATAATATTTAAATTTTGTTTTCTACACACGATACATAGACATATATACACACTTCAAACATCTAAGATGGTAGTAACTTTAAGACATTTTTCTAAGAAATTGTTAAATAGTTTATCTTAAATTACTTATTCTATGTATTAACAACTGAAATTGTAAGTAGCATATTGGGCGATTTTTGTCCTGCGCCTAAATTAAAAAAAAAATGTTAGTCTATTACATTATAGGTACAGTTCGATTAAAATATATTGAAATAATGTTACAAAAATACAATAATAATTGATTATACAGGTGTCCCGTAAGTCATTGATCAAACGGATTCTGGCGATAGTGAGAGTCACGCCCCATAAAAAAAAAAACAAAAATTAAGTAAACCAATAGTTACAAAATAGTAAGGTTTTTTTCTGTAAATATTTCTACTGACATGACATATTTTAAATAAATATTTAAAAAAATGTGCATTCCACAGAAATTATTTTTTTGTAAAGGGGAAAACATATAATGTGGCTTTACGGTACAAATGTTTGTTTAGAATTCTCCTACCGTTAGTTTAAAAAAGTGACTTTATTGTAAAACCAGAGGGAGACTTTGTACAAAAGTCGATTGCTTGGGTACCTCTGTCCCATTCGTGTTTCAACCGTAAAGTAGTTGTGTTTGCATGGCTGTGTTTCGGTTTGAAGGAAAGGAAGGATATGGCGTGAATTTACAGGGTACAGAGGAATAACACCTGAGTCCTCAGGAATGGCAACGCGTGGGGAGTATCATGGACGAAACAGTATACTCTGTTATGTCCATGGTACTGCTCATATCTATAGGCGACCTACCATATAGGTTACCACTTTCCATCAGGTGGGCATCAGGTTGTTTGCCATTCTAAGTTGTATAAAAAAAAAAGTGTTGACGACGCGCAAGCGTAATGTAAGTACGTAAACCGTACAGTTTCATGTTTACAGTAAAATAACCTAGTCCACTCGTGTCCTATCGTACGAAAGTTATTAATTTCACTTAATTTGAATTTAAGACATTTTTAGGTTTTAACTTTTATATGGTAGTGTGAATCTAGGATCTTTTTTTATATATTTATATTTATTTACTTAATACAAATTTTATCATTATTCAAGAAACCATAAATAAAACAGTTTGTTTCTTAAAATTAATTTTTTTATTTATGATACAATTAGAACAAGACTTACGTTAAACATCTATACATAGACACGAACTATACATGAATATTGTCAATGAGGAACTTTGATTTATTTTAAATATTTAATATTTATTAATTTTATCTCCATTTGGCACACACCGTTCTTATGTTAAAAAAAAAATGAAGAAAATGTATCTATTTATTTAAACGCATAGAATATATAATAAATTTATTTGACATGAAACCTAACATAAGACACATGTTGTCATGTGCACAGTGTAAGGAACAGACCAGTGGTCCAACGCTTTTATCACATCCCGAATGGTTACATGATAATTCGGGATGCGTTACTCTGTCCAGACGTACGTTGGACAACTGGCAGGAAACTGTTCATTAGACTGTGTGTTTAAAAAAAAAAAGAAATTACTAAAACGTAACTTGTGTATACAATTAAATATTTAATTAGGAAGTATTATTAAAATGTAGATTAAAGTGGAAAACTTAAAAAAAAATCTCACACATTTTAGCCACCCGCACCATAAAAAACATGCTCCATATTTATTTATTTCAGGAAAAAAGTTTATAAACGTAAGCCCATAGACAAACACCTTATAGTATAACATAAGTACATATTAAATTATAGAATACTTATTTTGAATTAGCTGTTTTCCACGACTTTGCTCAAGGAAATCAATAATGTTACAAATTCTATATTTTAAATTAGGATATAAGCATATCCGTGTATCAAATTTCATTAAAATTTGATCAGACGTTAAAGCGAAATTTTGTAACAAAAATAAAAAAAAAAAAAAACTAATCAAGTTAAAATAACAAAATGTTTTTTGATAATTTTTTTTTTTACAAAAATATATTAATAAAAATTAAAATACAATAAAAAACAATTACATATATATATATATATATATATATATATATATGTGTGTGACAAAAAGTATATACCATTATCTTAGAACATTACCTCTTAATATTGATGTTTTTTGGATATATTTATCGCTTTAGGGAAGGCAAAGAGACTAAGTCCATACAGCTATTCTTGTTTGTGTCTTCTTATAATTTCCTTTTGTCTCGTTCTTTAGATATCTTCTGTACTTGAGATTAAGTATTTATATATTGCTTTGTTCATATATGCATTATTTGTTCGATTTTTCATTAACCACTGAACGTAGCGCGGGAATTAGGCTGACGCATATTTTTTTTTAAAAAGTAATCGTGCCATTTATCAGTGTTGCAAGTAATTCGATTTAAAATTTTACAGATTTTTTTTATGAATTTAGAGCATATAATTATCATCAAATGTCATTGTTCGAATTATAATTTAATATTATTTATATTATAATATAAATATACATATTGAATAAAAAAATATACATATGTAACAACCAAAATGGCGGCTGTCGTTAATGATTAATTAATCCAAATATTATATATGAAAAATGAGTTCGTCGTGCTGTACTATGTAGTATTGATGGTCATGGGATCGGCTGCGTCCTTCTTAAAACATCTCCAAAGCCTTACTGCGGTGGCAACTACCGGCAAAACTTTAATAGGAGGCCTACCAATGTTCACCAATAAACAATTATATTGCTACGTCTTAGCTTTTTAACGGCTGAGATAATCTTCATGAAATTTAATACATACCTAATACTTGGGATAGAAAAGGACACAGGCTATTTTTATCTTATTCAAACAAAATCTCGGCTACGGGAACAAAGTCGTGGGTAACGTCTAGTAATTCATTAATGTACTGCAAATTTTCCCCCCAAATTATCATGTTATTCTACCTCCAACCAATCTTATATCCTTTGCTTTTTTTTTGCTAAAGATTGTCTATTATTTACGGGCAAATTTTGATATAGAATCTACAATTTTGGCATTTCGTTTTTTCTCTTTCACGTGTCAACGAAAATCTGTCTTATAAATTACATAAGTCTGCTCCCCATCTAGAAGGGAAAAGATTTAATGATTAAAATTGTTTATTTATTTAATTCTATTCTTATTATACTTATAATTAAGTTCGTATATAATTATGTATTATTTTTGGAGGGAACGTTGATTAAAAAAAAATATATGGTGCGGGTATATCTATTGATTTTTGACCATAGACACTAAATCCTTATTTATAAAAAAAAACTAAAACTTTATTACAAAACTACTCTATTAGAGTGTTTTAACATTTTATTTTAAATTAAGAATATAGGCCGATTGGCAATTTTATGAATATGAGAGTAATTCTATTATTTTTTAATATTATTCAACAATATATTAATACTACACACTTTCTGTAAAATGAAGACATATTTATTGCTTACGTTTAATACTTATTATTAAATTCCATTTTATATTTTATTTATAAATTACTTATAAAATAAATATCAATTTATTAGTTTAATATCTCTTCGTAAATAAATTACTTAAACGGTAACTGTAATTATAAAATGCAATAATAAAATATAATTAACGGAATTAAATACTTAAAATAAAGTTTTAATATATCGATTACAATTGTAAGTATAATTAAAATAATAATTAACGATTACATCGCGAATTCTCGTACACATAGATAAGAAAAGTATTTTTTTTTAAACGGTTAAGAAGTGGTTGAGTTTTTTTTTTTTATAAATTACTACAACTACGCCATAAATATATACATCTATACTAATTATATTATTCACAAAATAAATATCTACTCTTTTGTAATTACGAGCGGGAACTATGTCTATATAAAAGATCTAAGTACAATGATTTTCCTGTTTTTACATTACAACCTCATTTCCAGTAAATCTAGTGATATTCTTCAATATTATATTATTTATTTATTACGATGATTATAATCATCATTTCATTGTATTGAAATGTCATCGAGTATTATACCCGTTATACAGAAACAGACTACTTAATTACAGCAATAATAATCACAAATCACAAATTTTCTTTTTAATTTATTTATACATAATAAGTAAATTTACTATGATACACTTAATTTCACTACGCTAAATGATGTTTTATTTTTCTCATAATGGTGATATTTTAATTAATTTACATTTAATTATTCTGTATCTAACATTTAAAGATTTGGCGGAAGAAATGTCTACACTTCTATATTTTTTTTTCTGCACACAATTGGCAATTTATAATATATTTATTTTGAATCATCGGTATTGATATAATTATATATTCACATAGGAACATTTGTGTTGACTTATCGTCTTAAATAACATTCACTAATTTGCAACATTTCCACTTGACTTACTCTGTAATAATGTTTGATAATTATCAACATATAAGATTTTCGTGTAGAATAGATTGTTTCTTAGGAAAACATTCTTTATGCATTATAATATTTTTTATAGCAAGTAGAATAATTTTATTTGTTGTTCCTTCATCGCTCCGTAAGTAAATATTGATAATCATCATTCCGTAAGTCTATCATCGTTCAGTAAGGTAGAATATCTCTAATGGAAGCTTATACTATGTTAGTGTAACCTTTTTCACATTAGAATAATTTTAATTTGTTCCTTCATCGCTTCGTAAGTAAATGCTTGATAATCATCATTCCATAAGTGTAGTGTCACCGTTTAGTAAGGTAGAATATATCTCACGGTAGCTCATTTAGTGTAATCTTTTGCACATTAGAATGATATTCCTTTGTTCTTTCATCGTTCCGTAAGTAAATGTTGATAATCATCATCCCGTAAGTATGTCATCGTTCAGTAAGGTAGATTGTCTCTAAGGAAAGCCTGCTTCGTGTAACCCTTCCTCATACATTTTCCCCACCAAGATCGTTTCGTGCAAATCTTAACCGGTTTTAGAACGAAACATTTCGTCTGTACGATGTTGAAGAAGAGTTTCCCCACCATGTTGGAAACTGAGGTGTCAGCTAACTTGAGACATGCACGAAACCTGGAAGTAGATAAAAAAAAATTGTCAGAATTTGTTTTGTTTCTTAGCATAATACTAAATAAAAATTTATCATGGCAACACCAAGTTAAATATGGTAGATTATTCGTCATCATCAAATGAGCCTTTAACTATTGATTGTTGAACATAAGCCTCCCCTTTGGGGAGGGAGTTGTTTATTACATAGTATATCGTCATAGTCGTAGAATACTGATGGATCTAACAAATATTACGTATAAAGATCCGTCAGTATTCTACGACTATGACGATATTAGTAATGCGGAATATCAGTCCCATTGCCAAATTTGCTAAATTACTAAATTGTCCAATATACGTATGTGAGAATAGGAATATACCTCCACATCAGAGGGAGACTTTGTACAAAAGTCGATTGCTTGGGTACCTCTGTCGCATTCGTGTTTCTACCGTGAAGCAGTTGTGTTTGCATGGCTGTGTTTCGGTTTGCAGGGTGGGATATGGCGTGAATTTACTGAGTACAGAGGAATAACACCTGAGTCCTCAGGAATGGCAACGCATGGTGGGTATCATGGGCGAAACAGTATACTCTGTTATGTCCACGGTACTGCTCATGTCTATAGGCGACGGTTACCACTTTCCATCAGGTGGGCCGTCAGCTTGTTTGCCGTTCTAAGTTGTACAAAAAAAAAACATGGTCCCTCCTGGAAACTATTAAACTAAAATTAAATTATTATTATTATTAACACTAATTTTTGCTTATAATAAAAAATAGACAGACTACACTGTGACGCCCATGGTCCCTACTGTGACTATATTACATCATTCCACACACCAAATGCATTCACCTATATTCACAAATCTAAAAAAGTGATGACCCAATAAAAGTCCACAATAAATCTGCTATTAGAGAAATCTGGTCGTTATGTGAAGATGCCGGTATTTTAATATCACCATAAGACCCCCATAAACTATTTGACTGTTACAGTATTATTGATGGGACTCGGTGCATTATGAACGTGGAGTTAGCGGTTACATTTTGGAAATAACCGTGGTACAATTTTAATTGTATAGGCGACGGTTACCACTTTCCATCAGGTGGACGGCAGCTTGTTTGCCATTCTAAGTTGTATAAAAAAATATTTAATTATTTACTTATTTTTAAATAACTATACGTCATATATATTAATATTATATAATAAATATATAAAGTCATGGCTAACCATTTTTTTATGCAACTTAGAATGGCAATCAAGCCTTATGGAAAGTGGTAACCGTCAACTATAGACATGAGTAGTACCGCGGACGTAACAAAGTATACTGTTTCGCCTATGATACCCCCCATGCGTTGTCATTCCTGAGGACTCAGGTGTTATTCCTAATCTTTTTAATACGTAAACACTTATTATATTTATTAAATAATACGTCAAAATACATTGTATGCGTAAGTATATAGATTAACTGATTAAAAACACGACGATTAAATGACAAAAGTTGACCCATTTTTGAGGCTAGAGGCTTTATCTATATAATCTAAGGATAGGATATTGTAAAAATATAGAATGCACTGCGGTCTAGAAAATAATAGTGGTGCATTTGGCAAAAATTCCCTTGTTCCTGGCACATTAAGTATTTTATAGGGGTATATTTTATGGATGCACCGATAAGTGGCATCGGCTGCTTGCCGAATGTGTGCATTTGACAGGTAGATTGTTGACGTAATGGCTTCCCGCCATTTTATTGCTGTCGCCATTTTTGTTTTTCTTTTTTTTATCCTGTATAATTAAAAAAATATTATAACATTCTTAATTTTTTATATAAACATATGTTATTAGAAATTACTAATAATTTATTATATTATATTTGTGTTTTATATCGATATTTAGAATAGATATTACTCTAATACGAAATAATATAAAAACAAAATATGTGTATTTAGATTTTTATATTATTTATAATAAAATATCAAGTAGTTAACTAGTTAAAGGTTCAATTTAATATTTTTATTTCATGAACGATTAAAAAGAAAATTGTCTAGTGATTTCAATTATTGTCATGTACGGAATGAAAAAATATTTTTATTTTTTATTTTATTTTATTTTGAAAGGGAAACATACAATATCTAAGACATATAAAATAGTATACACAATCATAATATAAATCAGTAAAGTTTCCACAATAAACTAAACCAAATAATCGAGAGCAGATGATTATTGATATTATATATGATATTGATGAACATAAAAATATATATAATAGTATATACATGCATACACACACACACACACACACACACACACACACACATACACACATATTAATATATGTGCGTATGCATATACACACACACATACATACACACATACACATACATATACATATACTTGACAATAAAAAAAAGAAAACAATATATCAATAACAATTTACACATTCAAACCGTTCTTTAATTTCAGTTATTATTCTGTTAAGAATTGCAGGTATGTTACGACGCTGCGAGTCGATTGTAGTTACTAGTAATAGATTAATTTCCCAGTAAGTGAGAAGAAAAAAAAAAACATAATCTGTATAAATTTAAAAATAGAACTGTAATGAACATTGTAAGAAGTTATTAAAATGTTGGTATATGTGCAATATAGGCAACTATCCAAACGTCATATGAGAGAGCAATTCTCGCGCCAATTTACGACTGAAATGCTATAAAAATGGCGCGATGACATGCGGCGCCGCCAATAAAATATACGGTCATTTTTAATCTAAGAATGGAAATATTAAAACCCGTTATTAGGCAACTATTGACATTTTGCATGGAGAGCAATTTATCAAATAAAATAAAACGATGTCGTTAGGAAAATCGGAATAGAAATAATGTTGTCAGGGTTGCCAGATGCCATATTGAGTTTTACTCAAAATAAAAAAAAAAAAAACAAAATCGATAAGATTTTCTTAATTTTTAGCGAATTATAAACGCGTGTCCGTAACTACTCTTATCTTTTGTTCTGTTCATCCCTTTATTTGTATATTTTCTTGTATTTACTTATATACCATTGTAGTGCGGTCCCGGCATAGAATGAGGTATCCTTTTCTTTCCCGTGGGTGTTGTAAGAGATGACTAAATAAACTTAATGGTTAAGAGCACATCCCTCAGCGTTCCTCCTAAAATATCACCAAAGCCTCACTGCGGATACCAACTCGCCTGCCAAGCGTGACAACTACAGGCAAATCCCTTTTATAGGAGCAGTGGACAGTAAAAGGTTAATATGATGATGATGATGATATGATGATATGATGATGATATGATCCCTGTTTGGTTTGTAATATTTTATATACAAACTTACAAAAGTATTAGCCAAATTTTTCCAAGATTTTTATTTCCCCAAAATTTTCCTAATTTCTCAACAGAAATTTTTTACATACAATTACGAACAAAATACCCAATCTGGCAACACCGAATGTTAGTATAGTACAATATAGTTTACACACACACGTATAATATTAGTGTTTTGACCATAGTCTATGGTTTTTTTATATAGGTATAGTTTTTGCTCATTTAGCTATAAAATTTAACAATTTTGGTTTTTACTGATCCAATCACATAGGTATAAAAAATAAAAGAAAATCGGAGAAATATTATTTACTATAGTTTGGTCTAAATAAATCAAATACTTTTAATATTTTGCTCCGTCAAAAAGCACGAAAGTCAATTTTATATCAATAGCAATAGGAATAATCAAAATCGGTTTAGAATTGCGTACATATCACTTAAGATGTTCTTCCATACATAAAATAACGAAAACTTATTCCTTTTTTTAATTCGCTTTATAAAATTACTGTCTGAGAACTAAAAAAAAATTTTGGCGCCTTTTTTTTATTAAATAAAAGCAAACCATAGAGAGCTATAGTGAAAGGTATTTTTTTTTATTAGTGTAGCGCACTGAGTATCGAAACCAAATGTGTAGTGAATTTTTGAAGTCCGTGGGAGACGCCGGCTTGGACCGGATTACTGAGAGCTGACAAAGCTTTACTTATTTCGCACTTAACGAGCCCTTAGAGGTTTTACTCTTTGTATGCACCTAAGTTCGGCACAGAGTACTTACAGTATACAGAGATTGATTTATTACTTGATAAAAAATTAGTTTTAAAAATAAATACATTGTTTTAATACGCTAATAATTATTTTTTAGATTATTAAAAATACTTCCATCATTTCAGCCATTATCTGTCCATTGCTGGACATAGGTCTCCTTAGATAAACTACCATAAGAAACAGTCCAAAGTCACCTACATCCACTCCCTGCAATGCAAAAAAAAAGACCCAAAAATACTTTATTTGACAATTAATATTTTTCAGAATAATCTACCGAAAAAAAAAACATTAAATAAAAATTTGAAAAATACATTATTCAATGTAAATTAACACAATAAATAAATAATATTTAAAAAGACATGTTTTTAGAAATAATCTACAATAATAAAATTAATTCAAAAAATTGAAATAAAGACAAAAAAATATCTGATAAGGATTAAAAAACAATAGAGTTTCATAAGAAGCACAAGATTAAAACGATCACATTTAGTGCATTGTAAACTTTTCATTTCTGCTCAATTCTCTACATTTAATACGAAAAAACTCTACGATGGTAAAATAACAAAAAGGAATATTACATATTTACCGACTAACTTAAAAAAAAAGAAGGTCTGAATTCGGTTGTATTTTATTTTATTTATTTATTTTTACTTTATTATACACACTAATAATACATAAAAAATGCCTTTTTTATTATTAGTACATTACTGCAGCGGCCAGCAACTGAGGCATTGATGGACGAACGTGCAAATGTGGGCCGAGGTGTAGCCGAGGCACACATACGAGAGTCCATCAATGCCTACTTGTGGCCAAGGCTTGTATAGTACTATTCTCAAACAATGCGCGGAAATCAAAAACAATTTTACTTTTTAAATTCAATGACGAATAACGTACAATAATAATTTTTTACGCGCCATATTTTCCTTGGTTTTTTTTCAATAAA